GGGAGGTGCCCAGAGGAGCCCAGAGCGGCCTCCGGCACCGTTTCCGGACAGATCCGGTGGATCCGCTGGATCCGCTGGATCCGGTGACGAATCCCAAACCGGCGCCCTCGCTTGAGACATCCTCACAAAACCGGCCCCGGGGGAGGTGCCCAGAGGAGCCCAGAGCGGCCTCCGGCACCGTTTCCGGACAGATCCGGTGGATCCGGTGACGAATCCCAAACCGGCGCCCTCGCTTGAGACATCCTCACAAAACCGGCCCCGGGGGAGGTGCCCAGAGGAGCCCAGAGCGGCCTCCGGCACCGTTTCCGGACAGATCCGGTGGATCCGCTGGATCCGGTGACGAATCCCAAACCGGCGCCCTCGCTTGAGACATCCTCACAAAACCGGCCCCGGGGGAGGTGCCCAGAGGAGCCCAGAGCGGCCTCCGGCACCGTTTCCGGACAGATCCGGACAGATCCGGTGGATCCGCGCCCCGGGGGAGGTGCCCAGAGGAGGAATGAGGAGGAGGAGGAGGAGGAGGAGGAGGAGGAGGAGGAGGAGGAGGAGGAGGAGGAGGAGAAGATGATGGAGCTGCGGGGTGGAGGAGGACAGACGGAGGCAAGAGAAGGATGGAGGAGGAGGAGGAGGAGGAGGAGGAGGAGGAGGAGGAGGAGGAGGAACCTCATCCTCACCCTCGCCAACAAGCGCACGCACCTTCTTCTATATACAGAAACTCCCGATCAACCGCAGAGCGGCCGGCTAGGATAATCCCAAGACCCCAAAAGGTGAAGGGCTCCCAAATGCAAAACCCATGGCTTCCAGAAATGCCTTAACCTCTGCAACTCTGGTTGAGTCTGTCGCGTTGGTCAAGCCATGCAGGTTAGTTGCGGGAGGTCGGCGTTGACGGCTCTGGCTGCTTGGATAATGTCGCTATTGTCGATGAACTCTTGCTGCAATAATTCTTGCAATTGTGCGGATAATCCTGGGTGCGAAATCTCTGCGGTCTGGCCAGCTTCCGAAGAGTTCGGATCAGCTCCAGAGTCCAAGTGCAGCGTCGCCAAATTCTGCGTGAGGCGGGTCGCACTGCTCTCATAAAGACCCGTCGGAGCCGGCGTGTGGTCTTCCATCACAGCGTCGGCTGGGCCCGCAGCTGTCTGGGGGGCAAGGCCGGGAGGTCCAGGAGCTGTGAGGGACGCTGACGCTGCAGCGACTCGTGATCCCGCTCCTTCATCATGTCCAGTCGGTGATGTCTCTGGAGCCTGTAGCTGTCGTTCCTGATGGCAGGATGGGCATCTGCCTGCGCCAGAAACTACAGCGCCGAAGAGAGGGCACGCACTGTATTGGCAAGCATGTGGCCCCGTAACGAGGCTCGCCGGACCTCCGCCCCGCAGGCGAAGCACCAAGTGCAGGGTGGCGCACTTCTGGACGTTGTAGTCCGAGAGCGTGTGGCTGTCCTCCAGCTGCGACGCTGCGTAGATCAGGCGTTGCTCGGCAGGATGGATTTTTTCCTTGTCCTGGATCTTCGTCTTCACCCCCCTGATCGTTTCGGTGGCCACCACGTCGACTGTTATAGTCTTCCCCGTGAGCGTCTTCACGAAGATCTGTACGCCTCCCCGGCTGGGGGTTGTAGCGTCGGTGTGGTCGTGGTCTTGGATGTCGTCGTGGTCGTCGTGGGCGTAGTGGCTGTCGTGGTCGTCGTGGACTTCGTCGATGTCCTGGCCGTCGCGGGTCGGGAGGTTGAGGAGGCCATCGTCGCCGTCAGCGGATCCGTCACGGTCATTGTGCGTAAGATCTGCGTCAATGCCCGCGGGAGTCGGGGCAGCTGGGTCGGGCTGGTCGGTCTCCTCGGCGACGCTGGTGAAGATGCTGTTGCGGAAGCCGTCGTAAGAGCCGTCGGAACGGATGCCGTCGTGAGAGCCGTCGGAGCGCGGCTCGTCCACCCAAGCAGGTGACTGCCGCGCAGATCCGGAGCTGCGGAGCACGCACGTCTGCTTCTGGTCCGGGTTGAAAGTTGTAGTGTCGGTTTTGGCGTGGGCATTGGCGTGGGTTGCGTCGGCGCAGGCAACCATGCAAGGGCTCCCTTGGACGTCCGTGCTGCCGTGGGTCCCGAGGTGGTGGCTGGCATCCATGCTGTCATGGGTGCTGTCCTTGGCGTGAAGGACACCGCTGCCATGGGAGCCAGTTTGTGCGCTTGCATCGTGGATGTCGTTGTGGAGATGGCTGGAGTCACAGGTGTACGGGGGGCGCTTAATATCGGGAGCGTAAGCCCCAGAATCGGTGGTCTCGTGGTCCTGGGACTGCACCGCCTCCTGGGCGTACCAGTCATCACCATCCCCCTGGTCGTCGTAGGTGTCGTGCTGGATGTCCTGGTCGTCCAGGGGATGCCAGCCCATCCTCGCCTGATTGTTTCGGCCGCCTGCATCTTCTTGGTTGTCGTGGGTGTCGTGGTGGCGGCTGTAGGCATTGTCGAAGGCATCGTGCTGGTAGTCGTGGGGGGCGTCGTCGTGGGCGTCGTCCTGGACGTCGTGGGTGTCATCGTTCGCGTCGTCGTGGGCGTCGACCTGGATGTCCCCGTGTTCGGTATCGTCCAGGTGAGGCTGGGTGCGTCTGGTCGCTCTGGTGCGGCTGGGTGTCGTCGTGCATCTTGTGGCTGACCAATGTTGCATCGACGCGTGTCTGGCGTGCTGGTCGCGGCGCCGAGGCTGGTTGTCGTCCTGGTCGTCGTGGTGGTATTGTCGGTCATCCTCGCTATCATTGGTAATCTGGGCCTCGGCCTGGCCGAACCGTCTGTTCGATTCGTCCGCAGGGGGCTGCGCCAGCTCGCCAGTGACGGAATCCTCTCGCGCTACGGGCCCGAAGGGCGGCGGGCGGCTACTCGCCTCCTCCTCCTCCTCCTCCTCCTCCTCCATCGCTTTCGCTCGCTCTTTGGAGGCCGCGTCGGCTCGGAGGTGGAGTCGGGCGCGGCGTGCCTCGTGGTTCTCAGCCCTACGTCGCCATTGTTCCATAAGCTGTGCAAGTAGAGCCTGGTTCTTGATGAGGGCACGGGCCGACACCTGGAGGAAGGAGCACCATTCCCCCGGTAGGAGCACCTGGCCCGACGACCCTAGCCCCAGCCTCAGGGTGTTGGGGCGAAGCTCACGTGGGTGCAAGCGGGTCAGCGCCCCCAGTAGCGAACGATAGGGCGCGTATAGTTGCTCACGGAGTCGACGGAACGGCAAAATATCGCAGTCGGGGCAAGCCGTGTAGCCGTGGAACGAGCCGTCGGAGTGACACCCTGGGCACACAATCATGCGGCTCAGCTGCTCGATGGCGAATCTCACCACGCTCAGGAGTGTACCTCGAGAGGCCTCGGTCACCGCCGCCAGTAATTTCGGGCCGCCCGTCCATCCAAGCTGTCCAAGAAGGCCGTCGGGCATCGTCACCGCTGTGTCTCTGGCAAGACGCGTCCTTCCGAGTGTCTTAGTAGCGAGCATATTGCCGTGGACCACGGCGTTAGAGCAGTCGTCATTGCAGTCGTGATCGTTGGCGTTGGTGCTGGCGTGATCGGTGTCTTGGATGCCCGCGTTGGTGCTGGCATCGGTGCAGTGGTGTTGAATGCTGGTCGTGATGGTGCTGCAGTGTCTGATGCCGTCGTGTTGGATAGTGTGGGATTGCTGTCGGTCGTCGTAGTCGTTGCGGTGGAGCTGCAATGAGTTGGAGGGCTGATCGCGCTGGTGCTGTTGGATGTCGTCGTTATGTTGGGACGGTGGTGTCCAGTCGAGCTGGTCGACGTGGAAGTGCTGGGTGCTGGGATGAGGGCTGCGGCCTGCGGTCGTGCTGTTGTGCACCAGTATGCTGCTGCGTAGTGGCAGTGCTGTGCGCTGTAGTCTGTTGTGCTGCTGGCCGCGGAGGTGCTGCGTGTAGTGGTTGCGCTGGTCGCGGTGGTACAGCCGGCCGCCGTTGTTCTGGTCGCGGCGGTCGAGGTCGTAGAAATGCTCCTGAGCAGGCACCTGTAGAATGTTTTGGAAAACCCACCCCGCCATGGCGCTTCGGACCGCCCGTCCTGCTGAGAGGGGGGCGTGAAGGAATGGGTGCATCTTCTCCAGGGATTCCCAAAGAGCGTGGTGGTGGGCATGCGTGAGGAGGGTGGCCATTGTGGTGAGGGAGAGTCGGGTTGGGTTCAGGGGGTCGTTTGGGACGGAGGTGAGGTGGCTATTGGAGGGGGAGTCGTAGTCGTGCCGAGGTCCTGCCAGAATGAGCAAGAGGGTGGCATCTCGGATGCTGTCCTGGGTGCCGGTGTCGGAGCTGTCCTGAGTGTCGGCGAAGGTCTTGGCATTGTTGCTGGCGCAGGTGCCGTCGTCAGTGCTGGCGTGGATCTCGGCGTTGGTGCAAAAGTAGGCGCCTGAATTGGAATTGCCCTCGATGACCATGCAAATGCCGGCCTCCCCGTACTGCACGGCTGTGGACAGCCTGCGTCCTGAGGGCCCTGATCCTGCACGAACTGGGGCCGCAGAAACTGGGACAATCGAAGGGTGTTTTCTGGTTGGGGCGGGGCAGAGGAGGGCACTTGGGGAGGCACAGATTCCTGCAGCGCTGTGGGCTAGGGGGGTGTATCCCAGGGTCAAGGGTAATATGTTGGGGACGGGAGGCGGTCTCTGGTTGGGATTACTGCTCGTGCTCGCTGTTTCCACCCTTGTTTCCCCGGCGTCGCCCGCATCGGCGTCGACGCTGAGGCGGATGTCGTGGTCCGTATCCTCGTCTTCCTCCTGTTGGTCCTCCTCTGGGTCCTCGGTCAGGTCCTCGTTCAGGTCCAAAGGAGTGCTCGCACTAGGCGGCTGGTCGTAGAACGGCTGCGTGTCCGAACTCTTCATATATATGTGTGTATATATATATGTGTATATATATATGTATATATGTATATATGTGTAGGTGTGTGTATATATATATAAGAAAAACACAGATGCATACACACAATAAACAACAATCATCCAATACTCACCCCTCGATCCTCGCCCCTCATTGCTCCAGGGCCCGCCAGGCTCCTTCTTGGGAGCTGCCTCCTTTTTCGGGGCGGCGGCGGCGCCCTTGCCGCAGAGGGCCACTTTCCCCAGGACGCTGGCGAATTCTGGCTGGGCGGTACACAGGCTGAACCACCTGCTCCTCCTCCTCCTCCTCCTCCTCGTCCTCCTCCACCTCATCCTATTCATCCTCTTCCTCCTCCTCCAACTCATCATCATCATCCTCATCATCAACATCATCACCATCACCATCATCATCCGTATCAGTATCAGTCTCAATATCATCATCATCTTCCTTCTCCCCATCCTGGTCCTCTTCCTCCTCCCCCTCCCCCTCCTCATCATGCTCCGTGACCCCTCATTCCCATATTCCTCCCCCTCGTACTGGTGCTCATCCGACCATGATCATCCTCATCCACACCAGTACCATCCTCATACACCTTATAATTACACATTTGACCATGATCATCCGACCAGTACCATCATCATAATGCGAATCGTAATAATCACAGTGATCATCCGCATAACCATCATCATCATCATCAGCACCATCATCATGATGATGATCTCCATTCCGATCATTGCCCGACGATGCTATTTCCGAGGCCAGGTCGGATTCTGTTAGACAGCAAGAGGCAGCACCGTGAACGACTGTGGGGTGGATCCTCGAGTGATCTCCACCTCGCCCCTATCCTCCTTATCCTTCTCCTACCCATGGGCGGCTTGATGGCGTCCACCATCGTCTTCGGGGGGAAGCGGCCTTTCTCCAACTTGTATTTCTCGCGCAACACCGAGCCGAACGCGAGCTGCCACGCCGCCTGCGGGGATATGGAGGAGCACGTGCAAAAGGCGAAGGGACAGAGGGATAGAAGAAGCAGAACACGTGGATACATCAGGAGCTACAGACATGCAACTGGGCCTCCACCGATCTTTCCCTCATCGATCCTCCGACCCTTCCCTAGCTCAAAGAGCCTCCATCCTCCGATCCGTCCCTCGTCGATCCCCCGAGATCCTTCCTTCATCGAGCCTCCTCGTGATCGCATCTAGCGCCTCATCCGATCCTTCCCTCATGGATCGCCGCGCCTCCATCGTATTCTGGCTGAGGCGCTCTCCGTTGGTGACGTTGTTGATCGCCTCCAGGGTCGGTGCGAATGCCTCCCCTTCACGCGTTCCCACGGGCGCGGATCGAGGAACAGAATCGAGACAGTACAATCGGGGCGTTGACCTAAGGAACCCTAAATACGGAACGAGGCCCCTGCTTCCCATACGTTCATCCTCGGTTTCCCCTGGAAAGCCTCAGGAAAACCCGACGCAAACTGCGAAACATTCCAGGAACACCGAGCCCCTCCCCAACGAAAAGGATTCATTCTTCAGCGCCCCGGCTGTATGAAGATAATGACCTATAGGCAGGGGGCACGGTTGACTACCTAGCATCCCTTGTGGACCCTTCTCCCGATCGAATCGCTCGACCTTCGTCCGCCTCATGCAGATCGCCCCTCTCGATCCTCGGGGCAGGGTGCACCCCTCCCCTCCTTCAGCGCTGCGTAGCAAGGGCGGTCGCCACTCTTCTGGCACGGGTAGCTTCCGAAGTCGGGGATCGTCGGACGTCCTCGCGGCGGTGCGAGGGCGAGGCTCAAGGTTGAGATTCGGTAGGCCTCAGATGGCAGGCGTTTGCGATGAGGAGAGTACGGTTTCAATGGCGATGCAGCTGGGGGCCGATGTGGCGGCAAAGAGGGATGATACAGTCCCCAGAAGAGGCAAACGGAGGAAGCGGACCAGGAGGACGATGGACGAGCAGGATACCGATGCAGACAGGGATCTAAGTCGCGTCGTCGTCTGAACCGACGTCGCCCGAAACGTCGCTACCGTTATCATTGATGAGGAATTGCGTCGCCATGGCAACCACCGTCAGCATCATGATCATTAGTATCGCTGTCGGTGATCACCATCGGCATCATCATCGCCATCGCCATCACCGTTCTCCATCACCCTCATCATCGTAGTATTCGTCGCCATGGTTAGCATCAGCGTCGACGATATCGGCGTCAGTCGTCGAATGCGCGGCGCTAGCTCCTGCCAAGCACAACTGGCCGATCGCGTCCGTCTGGGCATGCAGCGCCTCGGGACGCGGTGCGGAGGTGAGGAGCGCGAGAGGCAGATGCATGGGTCCTCATCCTCATCCCTCATCCTCATCCCTCGTCCTCATCCTCATTCTCATCCTCGTCCCTCCTCGTCCTCATCCTCGTCCTCATCCTCAACCTCGCCCCCCTCCTCATCCTCGTCCTCATCCTCATCTGCATCCTCCTCCTCATCGTCGAGCCCGATCGCCAATCCTGGTCCTCATCCTCATCCTCATCCTTATCCTATCCGTGCTCGTCCTCATCGTTCTCCGATCCATGTGCCTCGGGCTGAACTAATCCTAGAAACTCTGCCTATCGGAATTCTCATGTCCTCCTCGAGCTCCTACTCCTGGCCCCCTCCCTACTGCGCCTGCGCGGCGAGCGCTGCTTCGCCCACCCACGTTTTCGGGTTCGCGAGCTTGCGCGTCATGGCCTCGAGGGAAGGCCGATCCTTTCCTTCCCGCCCCTTCTCCTCCTGAGGAGCTCCTGCCCTCTCGACCTCTGGATCCCCCCTGCTCTCTCGACCTCATGCCTCTCGACCCTTTCCCGCTCAGGGCGTCGGCGGATCCTGCCAACAACGATCGACGATCGACGACAACGAAGCGTCGCGAGCTCGCGACGCTTCGTTGTCATCGATCGTCGTCATCGTATTTTGTTGGCAGGATCCGGGGCCCAAGCTGGAATCCAACACGGTGCGGGTGCGTGACCCTGCTTGCTTGCCCGAGCCCCGCCTTGTCTGATCCTTCCATGCGTTGCGCGCGCGACCGCGGGCTGGGCGCCCTCGGGCCAAGCCGCGCGGAGCGCGCGCGCGAGCTCGCGCGCGAGCATGGGTCGAAGGGCTCAAGAAACGAGGAGGCGGACGAGGAGAAGGGGGAGGAGCAGGAAGGGGAGGAGAAGGGGGAGGAGCAGGAGGAGGAGGACGAGGAGGAGGAGAAACAAAGCACGATGATGATGAGGAGGAGGAGGAGGAGGAGGGGAAGGAGGAAAGGACTTGCGTATATCCTGACAACGCAAGGAAGGGAAAGAAACGCCGAGCCGAGCCGAGCTAATTGGTCGGCGGTCTCCTGATCGCAGAGTGTGTCATAAGAATTCCTTTGCCGACTCGAAAACTCAAGTGTTAAAACCCACTCATCTTATTTTTTCATTATGTGATCGAATGCGGCGTCAATGTAGGATTATAAAGTTTTTTTTTTAAAAAAGCAAAAAAAAAACTGCAGCATGCATAGATTTCTATCAAGCGGGGGATGTTAACTCGAACACCACATGTTGAAAACCCAATGCAAAACTTCATTCTCTGAACAGAAGAGGCGATCATCTGAATGTGGAATATACAAAACGCATATACACCATGCAGCGCGCGCGGGCGGGTCACCCGCGCGCGCGCCGCCCTCCACGCGCATGTACATTTTGATACAACGGGGGCGATGTTAACTCGAAAACCCAATGGTGAAAACCCAATGTAAACATTCAATCTCCGATCGGAAGAGGCGATCATCTGAATGTGGAATATACAAAACGCATATACACCATGCAGCGCGCGCGGGCGGGTCACTCGCGCGCGCGCCGCCCTCCACGCGCATGTAAACGTTGATACAACAGGGGCGATGTTAACTCGAAAACCCAATGGTGAAAACCCAATGTAAAACTTCATTCTCTGATCTCATCAATGTGGAATATACAATTTCGCATATGCACCATGCAGCGCGCGCGCCGCCCTCCGCGCCCTCGTATACATATTGATATACAACAGGAGCGATGTTAACTCGAAAACCCAATGGTGAAAACCCAATGCAAAAATTCATTCTCTGATCGGAAGAGGCGATCATCTGAATGTGGAATATACAAAACGCATATACACCATGCAGCGCGCGCGCGGGCGGGTCACCCGCGCGCGCGCCGCCCTCCACGCGTATGTACATTTTGATATACAACAGGGGCGATGTTAACTCGAAAACCCAATTGTGAAAACCCAATGTAAAACTTCATTCTCTGATTTCATCTGAATGTGGAATATACAAATTCGAATATACACCATGCAGCGCGCGCGCCGCCCTCCGCGCCCTCGTATACATATGGATATACAACGGGAGCGATGTTAACTCGAAAACCCAATGGTGAAAACCCAATGTAAACATTCTTTCTCTGATCGGAACGGGCGATTATCTGAACGTGGAATGCACATGCGCCAACATAATGCGGCGGCATCGGATTATTGCCCATGCGGTCGTTCAACGCGCGATCCAACAAAAAACAAGACATACGCAACAAAAACAAGACATGATACAGAAAAACAAGACATGCCCAAAAAAACAAGACAACGTCAACAACATCACAGCATGGCGCGATTTTCGAGACAAAACAGCAGTCTTGAACAAATTGCAGCTGGAGGATGTCAGGGTCGGCAACCCCTGGCCCCCGCGCCCGAACTGCGGCATCGTAGACTTCAGCGCCACCAGCCGGTAGTCCATGCGCTGGGGGCCCCCCTCCTCGGCGCGCTGCTGGCCCATCCAGTGCCCCGGCAGGTCGCCCGCGGTCTCGGTGCGGAAGACCGCGGTCGCGGACGTCATCCAGGCCACGAGATCGGCCCAGAGGCGCGTGCACTTGGCCCTCGGGACCGCCGAGACCGAAAGGGCCCTCAGGACATGGCCCGCCGAGAGGCGAGGGGGGGCTGCCTTGGGCGCCCGGACGCGGACTCCCCCGCACGCTTGGCGCCCGCCTCCGCCGGCCTCGACAGGTGGCTGCATCTCGCCTGGCGCTAGCCTCGCTGTGAGGCCGCCGCCTGGCGGGGGGCCCCCGCCGCCGCCTGGCGCGGGGCCATCGTCGCGAGAGGCGCTGGCACCATCGCCCGCCTGTCCGGCCTCTCGCGCGGCGGCCAGACTGGCGACAGCATCCCAGCGCAGCCGCGCGCCGATCCTCAGCGCCCGGCGGGAGGGCAGATCCGCCGGGTTCGCCTCCGACGGGGTCCACCGCAGCGCCGCGGTGACGCCCCCTGCCACCGCGAGGGCGCCCCACTGGCGGCAAACGCGCGCCATCCTCGGCCGCGAGGAGCAGCCCTTGGTCAGAACCAGGACGGCGACGAGACTGTCTGAGAGGAAGAGGGCGCGATGGCTGCGCTGCCCGGCGTCCCGGAGGACGTGTTTCAAGGCGTGGATTAGGGCCCTCCCCTCCAAGGCTGCGACGTGCTCCTCCCTCTCCCAGGCCCCGCTCGAGATGACGACCCAGTCCCCAGAGATGCGCTGGACTTCCAGAGGCTCGAAGTCGGTCTCCCGGGGCTCCACGTGGGGGCTGCCTTTGTCCATGGGGGCGATGGGCTCCTGGATGTCCGACGGTCCGCTGCTGACGTGACCTCTCGAGGACGGCTCGGAGTCTCGATGAGCTGCCCCCGTGCGGCGCCCTGGCACTGGGGTCTCGGATGCGCCGGCGCTCCTGGGCCCTACCCATCCTCTCCACCACGCCTCCGCTCATTTCACACTCACACACCCCTCGGCCCCACTCGGAAGCATCCGCGCACTGAACTCGGCCCAGCCACCGGGCCCGGAGGTCGGCGTGCGCCAGCGGGGCAACCCCCGTGGCCCACGCCAGCTCTCGGCGCACGCTGGGCCACCAGGGCCGGGGCGCCTCGCCGGCCTCTGCGATGAAGCGGTGCACGGCCGAGAAAACAGCCAGCAGCGGGCGCCTCACCATGAAGAGGAAAGTGCAGTGCCCCGCGACCTGGCGCACCTGCTGAGCCGAGACCTTCGGCATGGCGGGGAGCGCACGCGTGGCCAGGGTGACCCCCCAGGCTCTCCGAGGCGAAGGCGTGACTGCTCCCCGCGCGTCATCGATCACCCAGCCGCCCCAGCCCAGCACCTGCGCGTGGAGCGAGGCAGGCCCCTCCCCATGCACCGGGGGGCCCTCGCTGCGCAGCTCGGTGACGACGTCATCCTTCAGGCGGTCGGCGGTGTCCCCGTCGAGGGCGAGGGGCGCGAAGTTGCCGACGCGCGCGAGGCGCGCGCCGGCGCCCAGACAAGGGCCGGCACGCCGGTCCGCGATCCTGGACAGCACCGACAGCCCTGCGCAGTCGGCGGCCGCCTCCGACGCCCGCTGGCAGATGGCCAGCGCGTGGGGCCAGCCCATGGGCAGCGCCGCGAGCCGCGGCCAGAGCCGCTGCGGGCGAGGCTGCCCGGGGGCGGCCCCACGCCCAAGCCTCCAGGAGTCCAGCGGAGGGAGCGCGAAGTACGGCCTCCAGGCGTCCGGCTGCTCCATGTTGTGGAAGGCGTCCGCGATGTCCGCCGAGGCGGTCCACAAGCTGGCGCCGTCCGGCAACTCGATCGCCGCCAGCGCAGCGCCGGTGGCCAGGCGGGCGCCCTCGGGGTCGCCGAACCAGAGGTTGGCCGGGCGGGCGTCGACGACCAGCCGCTGCTTCCCGCTCTTCTTGGCCACGCTGAAAAGGCCAACCTCGTCGACCACCAGGGCGGCGTCGCCGACGAGGTCGACCGCCCCGGCCTCATGGAGACGCCTCACCGGCACTGCATAGCGGCGAGGGTCTCGAAGGCTGGGGTCCGAGTAGGGCTTCTTGAAGCCAACGCGCTGCTTCTGCTGCAAAGCTTCGGTCTTTGGCCAGACCGTGCACGCGAGATAGCACGATGGACGGAGTCGAACACCTCGGCGCCCAGAAGCCGCTCCAGCGCCGCAGGGTGGTTACCTGGCGGAGGCAGCGAGAGCCGGGAGACGTCCATCGCCTCTGCCCTCGTCGATAGCGAGCCATCGTCGTAGGACAGAGCAGCCTAGAGCTCCTGCAGGGCTGCCAAAGGCTGTAGGTCGCCTGGCGAGGGGCCCAGCTGGGCGACGGAGTCCGCGATCCGCGTCAGGCACTGCTGCTGCGCGAGCGTCGCGCCAGCCAGCGGCAGTGAGCCACCCTGCGCCCCAGCGCCGCTGAGGCCATTGAGCGCCTCGACCGCCTGCCGCGCGAGCCAGGGCGCGGACGCTGCGCGCCGAGCGCGCCGCCGCACGGCTCGAGAACAGGCGCCAGCAGCCAGCCCGCCAGGGTCGGCGGCGCCGGGCACTGGCAGCGGAAAGAGATCTCGCTGCCGCTCTGCACCCAAGCCGTCGAATGTGCTATGTACACCCTCAGCGCCACAGGTTGTCGCCGAGACGGGCCCCGATGCCGCGGCGCCCGGGGGAGCTGGGCCACTGGGCCCCCCCGGGCATGAGAGAGTCATGCCTTGGCTCCGCTGGCTTTCGGCCCAGCGGCGGCCTTCGCCTCCTCGCGCAGCTTGCGGGGTTTCTTCTTGATCTGACTGATGCGCTCGAGCTCCTTCCCGACGACGTCCAGCAGGGCATGGCGCGCCATGCTGCTCGGGCGGCTCGACAGACCTGTGCCGCCCACGAAGGCGGAGACCTCTTCCACCGGCAGCTTCAGTTGTCCAGCATCCTGCTCTCGCTGCTTCTCGCCCCAGAAATGCACGATCAGCTGCATCTTCCTCAGCATCCGCTCCACGCCGAGGAGGTTCGTCACATTGACCTCGTCATGCGTGGCGAGGTCCTCCAGCGCGGTGGAGAGCGCGTGGTGCTCCGAGACGCCCCAGTCCGATGAGCTGAGCCGCTGGCGGGACTCCCAGCTCTCGCGGTGCTGGATAGGCCCGCCCTCCCTCAGCAACCGCGCCACGCACCACGCCGCGGACCTCGGCTGCAGGGGAAAACTGGAGTCTGCCACCTCCACCGCCGCCTCGGTCACCGCGAGCCAGCTCCGCGCCAGGCGAGTGCCCGGCGTGCGCGCCAAGGTCCTCGCGTCGGTGCCCCGCCACTTGTCGATGAAGTCGCCTCGCCGCCAGTCCTCAAGGAGGAAAACCATGGCGGAGGCTCCCCCGACGAGGGTGACCGTCGCCCTTCGGCCCGCCCGCGCGGCCAAGAGCGTGCCACCGATCGGGCCAACCTGCACCGCGGAACCGTAGGCGAGGCCGCCCGCGTCCTCGGCAAGCACCCGCGACCAGCCCGCTGGCGCCTCGCCGCGCTCCCCTAGTAGGGGGGCGCCGCCGTCGGAGGGTCCCGGAGGAGCGCCGACGGCTGGGGGGGCGCCCGGTGCGATGGGCACGCCACGGCGCCGCGGGTCCCGGTGCCACCACGGGGAGCGGCCCGTCGGGCGCGGGCGGCCTGGCAGCAGCCTCCACGGCGGCGCCGGCCCCGGCCGCGGGCGGGGCGGCGGCAGCGTCCACGGGAGGCGGCACAGGCCCCACGACAGCGGCCGCCACGGCCGCGGGCGCCACGAACCCCGGCAGCAGGCCCCCCGCCATGGGCACCAGGGTGCCCCCAAGCGGCGCGGGCACCCCAGGATGGCGGCGGCCGAACTCCGCGTCGGCCTCCGCGACGGCGGCCGCCAGCCAGGCTGCCTCGCGCGCCGCCGAGGGGGCCTGTCGGAACCTGTGCGTCGAGCCAGGGTCGATCCCCGGCGGCGGCGGCCACCTCGTGGCCGAGAACCTCACCGCCGAGACGTCGGGCCCCGCCGCCAGCAAGGTCTCGGCGTAGACCATGTCGTCCGGGGTCACGATGACGACGTCACTCGTGAGTGCCACTCTGGTGGAACAGCGGCGCGCCGACCACGTTGTACAGGACCCACGCCCACGCCTCCGCCATGAGGCCCCCAGGCGAGCGCGGCGAGCGGCGGTGGCGACCCGATCGCGCTGGCGACCGTCGAAGGCCGGCCGCGGCCCTCCGCCGCACCCCAGCGCGGCGCCCAGAGCTGGAGCGCCGTGAACGTGCCGAGGGCCCCGAGCGACGCGCCCGCCAGCGCGGCCGTCCCACAGGCGAGGGCGACGGTGCCCGTGGTCGCGCCCACCGTGGCTCCAGGGCAGGGCGGACAGGATGGGCAGCTGCACCCTGGGCACGCTGGGCACGGCGGGAGCTCCACCGCCGGGCAGCGCGCGACCCACGCCTGGAGCGCAGGGACGTCCCAGCGGTCGATGAGCCCTGCCCAACCCGCGGGAAGCCCCAGGAAGGCCCTGGCCATGCGCCGCGGCCACGCCGCGGCCCACCAGCTCGAGAGCCGAAGGCTATTGAAAGGACACAACGCATTCTGCATTCGGCCGCTCCCTTCCCCTCTAAAGGCATGCATCTTCAATAGAAAAGTCCATCATTACCATCACCATCACTATCGTCATCACCACCACTATCATCACCACCACCCCCATCGGGATCATCAGCATCATCACCACCAGCCACCATCATCATCATCATCATCATCATCATCATCATCATCATCATCATCATCATCATCATCATCATCAACATCATCATCAGCAGCAACATCATCACAATCACCACCACCACTGTCATCATCACAATCCGCCATCATCATCAGCATCATCCTCATCATCTACTTCATCATCAGCGGCATCATCAACATCATCATCAGCAGCAGCAGCATCATCATCAGCATCAGCATCATCCTGGTCATCGTCCTCATCCTCACCCTCATCCTCGTCCTCATCCTCGTCATCATCAGCCGCATCATCATCGTCGTGGCCGCTCAACATCAGCATCGTCGCAATCCTCATCATCCTGATCATACCAGCTACCAGCATCAACGTCAACAGCCACATGTGTCATGCCCCATCAACCTCCCTCACGAGGGAAGCCCGAGGAGGAGGAAAGGTATGGGGGGGTATTCGAAAGGGTCATGGGAGCATGACCTGACGGCCCTGACCACCGCATGAGGTTGCCGAAAGGCTTGCGGAACTCCTCGTCCAGGACCAGCTTCATGCCATCCACCAGTGCGCAGCACACGGAGATGTCAGCCAGGGTAATGGTGTGCCCCACCAGGCAGGAGAGGGTGGAGCAGGAGAGGAGGAGGAGGAGGAGGAGGAGGAGGAGGAGGAGGAGGAGGAGGAGGAGGAGGAGGAGGAGGAGGAGGAGGAGGAGGAGGAGGAGGAGGGGAGAATGAGGAGGAGGAGCTGGAGGTGGGGAAGAGGAAGAGGACAATGTGATGATGAGAAAATGGTTTCCCCCCAACGTTGCCCCGTGGCCTTCGGGCCATGTCTCGGCTCTCCATCGGCCGCTCAAGACGAGCGGGGCAATCCCGGAACGCTCTCGGCGAAGCGCAGCCGCTGGAACGCATCTCGAGGCAGGGCAACCTCAAAGAACCGAGGAAAACACAACCTCGGACCGCGAACCCCACCTACCATGTAGGTGTTGTGCAACAGATGGTTGTTCAGCACTGTGAGGGCGCGTTTCACGTCCTCCTTCGCGCACGCCGTCGCCTCGGGGACCTCCTCGAAGACGCCCATCTTAGGCAACACCCACGTGCACAACGGCACCTCCCAGGAGGAGGGAGGGACGTCGGGCCGCTGGAAGACCCCAGAAACCTCTTGGGGGCGACGTTATGGCGGGACCAGGACCATCTCGGGGGGGAGGGGGAGGGGAACATCGAGCTGGAATCGGCGATACATCGCCGAATGGCTTCAAGACCGTCGAAAGGCTGCCCCTTATCGCAGATCGAGCGAAACGGTTGCCAATGATGCGCGAGCAACGAGGCTCAGTTCCAAAATCGCCGTGAACAGGAGATATGACAGAGGAGGCGCAAACGCAGGGAGTGCATGTGTTCTAGAAGGACACAAACTGCGCAAGCATAAATGTTCGAAGGTGTCCGTAGCAAGCGGCGGCAGCTTGTGTGCCCCCGGGCCCGAGAAATTGCAGCATGTAGTGCCGTCGACGAGCACAGCGACGCCACATGCTGCCAGGCGCATGGGCCACGAACAGGGGAGGAGCTGAGCGCACACCAGCGAATCTGGAATCTGGAATCTACCTTCGGGACCTGTGCTCCTACACCGACTCTGCTCATAAAAAACTTCTCCTCTACTCCTGGGTCCTAGGCTCCGTCCGAAAACTTGCACTGTTCAACCGCGGCCACGCACAGGGCGAAACCGGCCTAAACGCAGAGGCCTACCGCCGCATGCCACCCTCCCCCTTGAGTCTGCTAGACGGAGCCACAAGGGCCAGGAGCCGTCAAGCAGCCCAAGGGCAGGGGGGCACGCTGCGGTTTGCCTCTGAGGGCGAGTCTGCCCCTAGGCGCAGGGCGCCACCGACAAACTTCCCCCCCCCCGCTACTTGGATCAAGGCGCGCGGGGGGGAGGGCGCATTCGAGCGAGCATTTGCGCTGCTCGCACACTCCCTGAATTCGCCAGTCTCTGAACTCTCTGATGCAGTTCCTCATCTACCTCTAGGGCGGGGGGAGGGGGAGGCTCGGAGGAAGAGGCTGCCCCTGCCGCACCTGTCCCGCTCCCCCTGCTCCGCTCACTCCCACCCATCCGGCGCGATGCTGCACGACGCGCGCCAGGTCGGCGCGCGGCGCCGGCCCCACCTGGAACTCCGCTCCCTCCTTCTTCAGGTCGCTCATCGCGGCGGACCTGATCTCGACGCCGTGCCGCACCTCGCCCTGGTGCTGCGACTTCGGGACGGCCGCCGTCACTTTCACGGATAGCTTGATCGCCGCCTTGCCCTGCGCCTCTGACTTGCCTTGCGCCGTTGCCTTCGCCTTGCAGGTCCCGAAGATCTCCGCCGTGTTCAACTGTCCCCTCGAACACTCTAAGCGCGCATCCTGGACGATACCCTCGTCTTTCTCGCCCAGGTCGAGCTTCTGCGCCGCCTCCAACATCGCCGGCGCGACGCGTGGGCACGGCGCCCCCAGTCCACGCCCTTTCTTCTGCCTGCTCACCTCGGCGCCTTCACCATCGCACTCGCCAGGCTCGACGACTTGTCTATGAGACAGGCGTCGAATACTACCCCGCCGAGCTCGCGCACCTGGTAGTCCAGGGAGGGAGTCGTGCGCTGAACTGCCTGTAGCTCTCGGTCTCTGCTGTCTCGGCTGGTCCGCGTCTGCCGCCGCGGGCAGCCTCTGCATCAATCTCCGAGGGGAAGGGGCCGAGATCGACGTGCCAGGGATCGGGCAGGCGCGTCACGACGTGGTCGTAAAAAACGGTGACGCTGCTGAGCCGCAACATCGCAGAACGGACACTGCAACGCTGCGGCAGGCGGCTCAACGACTTCATGACACCAACGGGATCTGTCGGTCTTACACTCCCGGGTTCCCTCGATCGCCCGCCACGCGTGCCATCCTGCCAATGCTCTGGTTTTGAAAATACTCCGACACCATGGGCACTCGTTTGATGACGGCAAGGGGGACGGGCGACCTCAAGCTGCGTCCGTTGATCATGTGCGACACTAACCCTGCGTACGTAGCACTCGCATACACACGAGGGAACGCCTCCGAGCCGAGCGCGCACTTCCACGGTTTATCTTGCAAGCAAGCGAGATCGGCCACGGGGTCGAACAGGGGGTCGGGCAGGCCAGATGCCCCAGGAGGTCCACCGAGGCCAGGGGGGAGGTGCAATCTGAACTCCATGGCCCGCGCTGCGCATCACACCGACGTCGAACGAGCAAAACTCCAATGCCGCGGGGCCTCTGAAGACATCTGGAATCGAGTCGAGCTGCCGCCGCCCGTGCTCCACCTTCTCCATTTTCCCGAACTCCTCCACACCGTTCTGGATCTGCCGAGCCCAAGGGGTCGACCTTCTCCCCGCCCGCCCGTTCTCGAGCCTCTCGATGCCCAGGGGGGGTCCAAGGAGCTGCCCCGAAGACCGCCGCTAAAAACTGGGAGCTGGTCGCTGGGGACCTGTCCGTAGCTAGGTGCCACTTAAGACGCCCAACTCGGAGCTCTTGGGCACTTGGGAGGAATTGACAACGCTGGAGGACCTCGAGGGTGCTCAACGTCTGGATGTGCTCGGGCCCGTCAGGCCCCCCCCCCCCCCCCCGCTCGTGCACCTACAAAGCTTCGCCATGGCGCGGCCCAGGGCCCCATGGCGCCTCGGCCCCGGGGCGAACGTTTGACGGGCTGAAAGACAACTGCTCTGGACGCGCGCTAAGAACAAGCAGCGCTTGACGCGGAGCGGAATCTTTTCGTGCCAAACCTTGCCCAGCCTGTGCCATCCTGCATGCGCCGCGCGCACGCGCAGTTCAATCTCTGCACTGACCGAGCCGTCCGTGCTCAAATATGGGCCGAGCACCCGCATCAACTGCGTCGGACGTGCAAGTAGGCGGGAGCTCGATAACAGGGCGCGCAGCTCTGCGGCCGCGCCCCCCCCCCCCCCCCTAAAAAATGCGCGAGTGCGTTCCCCTTCGCCGAATTCAAACAGCGCCCGCTGCCGCGCATGCGGCGCGCGAGCCGTGCACCTCGAATAGCGACTCTCTCCTCTGTCCGTCGGGCCGATGGCTTCCGCGGGAGCAAATGCACTTTGGCCGCGTCGTCCACGAGGGTCGCCGCCGACATATCGCATGCTCTCTGGGCAACAGGGCGCACCGTGAGGCCCCAGTTCACCTCGGGCGCGTCGACGCGAATCGATCGCAACCACTCCTCAACTCCAGGGTTGTAGCACGCGATGAAATCTCTCGGCCCGAGGGCGCAGCCCATGCAGCTGCCTGTCGTTGGCCAGAAGGACAGTCCATATCCAGCATTTGTAAAAAGACATCGTCGGTCGCCATCGTGGTCACAACGTCGGCCTCGCGTGCGCAGGCAAGAACGCGTCGTGCATCCAAAAGCATCCACTCCGTCATTATTGGATGTCGCCGTGGAAATACCAGTCTCCTTCATCCTCCATCTTGCGCGTTCCATTGTCACGATGGCCGCCTCGCGGCAGCGGCGGGGCAAGCCTCCCCGGGCCCACTCAGGTAAGTCGGTCGCATTCTCGCGTCGGCGCTTCATCGCGCCAGCGCTGATGCCCATAGAGGCGCTGTCAAAAACATGTAGAACTCGTCGGCCTGCGACCCCGTCTTCGCGTTGCCCTTGTCCGCCGCGCAGGCGTTAGATATGGGGAAAAAACCAGGGGCGGGGCATCTCGCAGCCGCGCGTGGGTCGGGAAATCCTCGAACACTTGCTCGAACGTCTAAGGCGTCTGCGGCTCCGCGTCCGCGCCCACCCCCGCAGGCTTGCCGCGACAGAGTGGACGTAAGCAGATCGCCCAGAACTCGATCGGCAGCCCCCAGGGCGGGAACGCCTTCCTCTTCGCCGCCTTCAGTGCGTACGCCCCCAGCTGCACTCGGTCACGTCGCGCGCGCTGCAGTGCATCTTGGCAGGGAACTGGAGGCCCAGCGTTTATTTCAAGCCGGCGTGCCCGCACGTGCTGCGCCCAGTCGTCAATCACATCGCATCCAAGAACTCCTTCATGAGGTGGCTTCTGCACTTCCTCTCGCCATTCGTCAACATGCATTGTCGCTCGTGCAGCAAAATAGCTTCTCTTCCTTGGGCCGTGCCCATTGCCCGACAGTAAGCTCGAAGCCGGTGCACTTCCGCTAAATCTCGCCGTCGCTACGCATCCAGCAAATCATCGCACATCTCTCGCTCTCGCACTTATGTTTGTCGTGTGCGCGAAACCTTCAGCTCTTTGCTTATAATGCTAAGTCGATCCTTGATCTCATCCAGCCGCTCGATGTGTTCGTCAGGTCTCAGGGCTGCCTCTAAAGCAAGGCGTTCCTGAAGGAGCTGCGTTCTCTGGTCTCGTAGTTTGAAATATGTTTGATCTCGCTTTGGCGCCTACGGGTAAAACCTCCTCCGGCACTTTCAACATCGCCTTCTGCAAGCACTGCCACTCCCCATCAACGTCCTCCCGCTGGTATTGATCTGCCAACTGTGCCGAGATCTTATGCGCTGTTTCTTTCACTCGATCAATAAACTCCTTTTCTCTTGAAACCGTTTTTCCAGCATGCCATCGATGCATTGCGGTCTATATTGCGGCCTGGTTGTCTCTGTGGATCGCCAAGCGCTCGATCTTGAACCCAAAGACTTACGGGTATGTGATCGTGAAAGAGCTCGCTGTCTCGAGGTTGTCCTTCACGAGCGAGACGGGAATCGATATAACATCTCTCAATCAGGTGCATGGCCCCAGTCGGAATCATCCAGTGATATATCTTGCTCTGCCCTTAATATCCGATGTACGTGTGCCCCGTGTCGTAGAACGATGTGCAAATACTTAAGTGCTGCCTCTCGCAGAAGCCTCGTACTCGGCGTGCCGTGTCGTGCTCTAGTCCAGGGCCTTCTATACCGACATCTGGTGTGGCTTGTAGGTACTGGGTGCCGTTCTCTGTCTTCTAGACCCCAAACTGGTCATTAACGTCGCCTAAAATCATCGGCGTGGTCCTAATCCCCAGACGCCTCACGGTGCTCTCAAGGTACCTCACGATGGCCTCCGAAGTGTTCCTCTGGAGTTGTGTTCCCCAAGACCTCGGCAGGAAATATATTCCTGCGACGAAAGAGTCCCGGCCCCCTTGTCGAACCCGTAGAGTTCCTACTCTCCCGAGCAGCTGGCTGCTAGCGGGGGGCTCGTATATCTTAGTAGTGTGCTTAGCCTGCAATCTTCTCCGGAGAAAGAATGATATCACGCAGCTCCTGTTTGCACGGGTCCCCTTCCTCCAACCGAACCGTATCTCTGTGTGGCGTTCATGTCTGTACTGTGTGGGCCATTGATCTACTCTGCGTACTTGTGTCCCCACTGCAACAATTATGTCGTAGTGCTTAAACGCCTTACTCAGGATGGTGGCCCTGTCTCCTTTGAAACTCTGAACATTATACCCGACAGCTTTCAACATAGAGAAACGAGATGCCGCCATGGCACGGCGTGGCCCCTGGCCGCGGTGAGGGAGGCAGCGGGCGCGGGCGGTGCGAAAATCCCCTGCGTAGGCGTCCGTGGGGTAGCCCGCCTGGGCCGACGCTGAGCGCACACCAGCGAAAGGAGGAGCAGGAAGAGGAGAACGAGGACGAGGTCGAGGAGGAGGAGGGGCAACCGAAAGCCGATTACGAGCGCCGCGCTCCGATGTTGCGCTGAGTTTCTGCTGGACCTCCACCCCCCCACAGTCAAAGCGCATCATAAGGTATATTTTTTAACTTAGGCAGCTTAGAGGACCGTTTCACGATGTTGGTTTCGCCAGTGAACCGAAAAAATTCGACACTCAGCACTACTCGCAATCGCCTCGCTGTCACGCCCCAGAGCGTGATCCCAGATACGGGTAAAAAAGCCCGCCCCCCGACGGACTGAGAACGGGGTTTCCGCGGTCACCCCCTCAATCAGGGCGCCGCCTGAAACCGAAACTCGCAAGAGAGCTCTGGCGCATCATAAGGACGCAGGATAAGGATGCAAGGGCCTTGGAAGGTCATGTCGACACTTTGCGGCAGGGCGCGGCCTGCGAAATCGGCCAAGGATGGGCCCAAGAAGAGGGATGTAACCTTGGAAATTGTTAATCCTTAGCATGCGGGTTGACTGTATCCTGTCATGCCGCCCTCTTTCCTTTGGTGCTCCGAGAGGCACAGGTCACAGCGGACCTTGGCTTGGCAGCGGAGCGCGCACGAAGGCTCGGCAGCGGCGGGCCCTGGTCCCAGCGCCCTCTCGCAAGAGTGAATGCGATGAGCGATGCGACGATTGGCCGCACCGTCTCAGACGATAAAGGATAACCATATTGCAGGGTTTGGGGAAAACAACAGCACAAAGATGGCGACGAAGAAAAGATGCGATGGCGGGCAGGTAGGCTGAAAATGATGATGATGATGATGATGATGATGATGTTGTTGTTGTTGTTGATGATGGCGATGATGATAAGAATGATGATGATGGTGATTGTAGTTATGATGATCGTGATGAGAGCGAGCGTGATCCACCGCCGTTTTACTGTGGAAATGTCCCCCCCTCTTCCTCCGGAACCCGGGGGTCCCCCCCCTCAAAAATCCCCCCCTCCCCCTGCTGGAACCCCCTCCCCTACCCACCCCCCTCCGGAAAACTGGGTGGGATCACTACCGGTTCGAACCCCCCACCTCTCCAAAAAAACGAGCGGGGGCAGTACCAGTTCGAACCCCCCCCTCCCCAAACAGTCCCCACTGTCCCCGCCAGTGCCCCCACCACTGTCGCACTGTCCCCACTGTCCCCACCACTGTCCCCACCACGGTCCCACACTCCCCACTCTCCCCACGGTCCCAACCACTGTCGCACTGTCCTCACTGTCCTCAGTGTCCCACTGTCCCCGCCGCTGTCCCACTGAGCTGTCCCACTGTTCCCACCACTGTCCCCACTGTCCCCGCCACTGCACTGCCCCCACTGTCCCCGCCACGAGTGTCCCACCACGGTCACACTCTCTCCATTTTCCCCCTGGCCCCCATCACTGTCCCAGTGTCCCCACTGTACCCACCACTGTCCCACTGTCCCCACTGTCCCCGCCGCTGCCCCACTTTGCTGTTCCACTTTCCCCACCACTGTCCCCCTGTCCCCAATGTCCCCATCACTCTCCCCATTGTACTAGTGTCCCACCACCGTCCTCGCCACCGCGTTCACCACTGTCCCCACCACTGCCGTCCCCACCACTACCCCGCTGTCCCGTCACCACTGTCCCCACCACCACCGTCCCCACCACTGTCCGCACCACTGTCCGCACCACTGTCGCAATGTCCCCACACCGCTGTCCCTACCACCACCGTTCCCACTACTGTCCCAATATCCCCACCACTGTCCAACTGTCCCTAGGAGCGGGAATCGTTTGCCGGCGGCGAAAGGGGGGGGTTCGAAGGACGGGGTTCAACCTGATGGACTAGGGGGGGGGAGGGGTTCGAACCAGTAGTGACCCCCCCCGGTTTTCGAGCGGGGGGGGGGATGGACGGGTTGGGACTCCCCAGTGACCCCCCGGTATTCCGCTAGCAGCGGTAGAACACGCTTTTTCGGATGACTAGGATGATGATGACAATGATGATGATGATGACGGCGAAAATGATGATGATGCTGCTGATGGTAACGATGACGATAGTGCAGATGGTGACGCTGATGATGATGACGATGATGATGATGCTGCTGATGATGAGGACGACGACAATGATGATGACGACGACGACAACGACGACGATGACGACAATGATAATAATGAGGAGGAGGAGGAGGAAGAGGAGGATCGTCGTGGTGGTAGCGGTGACGACGACTGCGAAAATAATGGTGATGATGATGAATACGGAAGGCAAAGGGGAAGGAGCCATCAAACTGGTAACGCCATGCCGTTGTGGAACGCTGTGGAAAATGGCCAATCCGATAATTTCAACGACGCCCACGCCCACGCCCACGAGCGGGTCTGGAACCCAATGTATCAATCATCGCGCAGAGCGACGCCCCCCCCCCCCCCCCGAAAAAGGCATTTCCCAACCGTCATCCAACATTGCCCCATGACGATGTAGCCATGTTCGAACCGAACCGATCGAATGGAGCCTCACCTGAGGGGCAAGAATCGCCCTCGCAGGCCCCGAAGATGCCGTGATGTCTTCAGCGCGGGCCCCCCCAGACCCCGATCGACCCCTTCCCCGAGGCTGGGAGCCTTTGGAGGTCTCTGAGGGGCATCATGGGGGTCTCCCTGGGCTTCTTAAGGGCTCCCAGGACCTCTTGGGGACCTGCTGGGGACCTATTGAAGACCTCTTGGGGGGTCTCTTGGCGCGCATGTAAGTCATCGACCAAAGAGTCGAACCTACACGATATCCCGTGGGCAGAGGTAAGAAAGGAAGAGGGTGGCTAGTCAATTTCCAGGGCGCTGCGAGGAAGGCAGCGCGGTATATTATACCAATACCTGAGCCGATGCGTTAGCGGACTTTACACGCGCGCGCACCGCGCCCCGAATCCCGCCCGTTCCACGCTGGCCTCGGGCCCACGAGAGGCGAAGGCGGGGCTCGGGAACAGAGGTGCGAGGTCCACTCAAAACGCCGCCATATCAACCGCACCTCCAGAAGAAGTCGCATCTGTAAGGAAAGAGAACAAGGGGACCAACCCGGCCACGCTCGGCACTTAGGGGAGTCCACCCGCCTTTATCGGGCCCGGGGCGCGCCCCCACCAAACGCCCAAGCACTCCGGGGCGACTCCCCGTCACCACGGGTGACGAGGCTGGGGGGGCAAGAAAGAAAAAAAAGAGGAAAAAAAACAATGTTCCACCGGGGCGCGGAAATGCGCGCGCAAGGCAACTGCAATGCGAACGATGTGAAAGGATCAGAATTGTGACGACAACTCGATCAAGCTGAAAGATGTCCCATTCACGGGGCACTCCAAGCCAAAAACCATTCTCGGGGCTCTCCGGGCCCGAAGTCGCTTGATTAAAAAATCGAAAGTACGATGACAACTGATCAACTAGATAGCGTATAACGCATGACGCGAGGCACCCCGGGCCTCAAAAATATACGAGTACCATCATATACAGCACATCCATGATGCCGACATCAACGTGAGAGTCATGGGAATGATGCTTTACATGGGTCGTACTCAGACGCCTTCCCATGAAAGTGAGATATGCTGTGTCAATTTCGGCAATATCGTTGGCGGGCGACCTGCCTGGGTGCTTTTATGCCCAGAGTGCCAAACGAAAGTAAACGATGTACTATCGACGCACACGCAAACTATAATCTACTGATATGGAAAATTGAATTAATCTCGAAAGAGATACAACATCAATATCAGTATAAACGACTCTATAATAATGCAATCACGGTTGTCAAATTAATGAAACCTTTCGAAGTTGTAGTAGGTGATATCCCAGGCGCGATTACCACGACCATCAAACCAGCCTATCGTACGGGTGCTATTCTGGTAGATCAGGATGTACTCACAATCGTTCTCGTCGACGTAGATCCAGTTGTTCAAATGGGGCGATCAGTAGCGGGAAGTGTCGCGCGGGTAATGCTCATTGTGCTCGCGCCACCACGCGCGCGTGCGGCGCTGGCGCGCGGCGCTGCGGCTGCGCTCTGGATGCGTCTGCGCAGCAGCGCTGGGCGTGGTCTGCTCCCGCGGCCTCTGCCTCGGTGGTGCTGTTGGCCTCCTTGTGCCCGATGCAACTGGGGCAGCCCGGGCAGCGGCGCCGCCTCCAGTCCGGCCAGCGCCGCGGGGAGGGCCGCCGGAGGACGCCGCGCCCATGGAATGCACATCGCGGCGCGGGGGCGCAGGTGCAGGAGGTGGAGTGGAGGTCGGGTCAGCGACAGAGGCAAGAACCTCTGCTCCCCTTGCACTTCCGGGCATCCCCTCTCGGGGCCTCCGCGCGGAGCTCTGCGAGCGCAATGCGGCCCATGAGGCCCGTTCACTTCCCGGAGGGGGTGGGGGTGGCCAGGGGCGCGCGGTCGCAACGTTTCGCGTGGCTAATGCGCCGGGGGCTTTAGTCTGACGGCCAGCGTATCCTTTTTCCACGCTAGTGGCGTGGACGCCCATGGCGCGCTGCATGTCCTCGAGCGCGAATGTCTTCAGACCCTCGTTCTGTCTGAGTGTGGTCGTCTCTTCATGGAAGACAAGGCATTCTTGGGAGCGAAGTACAACGTCGGCGCATGGGCGATACAGAGTGCTGTCGCCATCCGGGGCATTCTCGAGGCCAGCAACTCTCGAGCGCGAAAGATACCCGCGCCCTTGCCCAGGCGGGGTGGCAAGGGGCGGGGGGGGGCGACGCGCCGCGGCCGACGGCGGTTGCGCGCGTGCAGATGCGACGGCCCATGGAACATTACAGGACGATGTCTTCTCCGGGCATCCGCTGGCGCCGATGGCGCGCGCGTTGAAGTCGGCAGGGTGGCCGACCGCGCATTGGCCGCTTTCGGGCTAGAATAGCTCGTTCGGAGGTGCGCCCGCGAAGGCGCGCAATCAAGCGTTCGGGGCTCGACGTGCAAAATGCGGCCTGGGTGTCCCGGGCGAGCGCCGCTACAATCCCGCGCTCGCCCCAAACGCCAAGGGCCCCGAACGCCAGGCGCGGGCCCCAGGGGCTGCCCCCTGGAAAACCCGCCCCAGCGAGGTCCGGGCACGTGTCGGGGGGCAGAGTCGCCGAAGCGCGTTGATGGTGACCGCAGACACATGCCCGTGCCTAGTCGAGGTGGCGCGTGGTCGAAATCGCAATCGGGCGCGCGCGCGGCCCCCGAGAGCGCCCCCGAACGCGGCCGCAGCGGCCCCCGGGAGAGCGCGAGATTGCAACGACACTCCTGCGGGCAGGCCAAAACGCAACGGAACGGTGGTGCCTGTCCCCAAATGGGACAGGCACCACCACTCCAATGCTGTTCTAAACCCCGCGGACACCCCCGATGCCCCCAGGCGTCCCTGACGCAAACCAGGGCATGTCTCTGCCATCAAACAACCAGCCGTTCAGCGCGTCGCTGTGTCCTGACGCGCGGATGCTGAAACTGCGCGCGCGCGGCAGGCTGATCGGGCGCAGCGGCAAGCGACCAATCCAGCGGACGACCTTCTTCACCCAGGCCGACCCCGGGCAAGGCAGGGCACGTTTAGGACCAATGAGCAACTGCGCCCGACAGCCGACATACCCCGGCAGAAGGTGAGCCATTGGCAGTCCATTTAGGCTGCCGCCTGTCGGCTTTCATGGCGAGCCTGCGGAGGAAGTTCTGTTCCTCCACAGTGTTAGAACGTGTGCCCATGAATCGGATGCGGACGTCGTCGCGCATGATCTGGGTCACGACCTCATGATTCAGGTTGGCCCGTGTCCACGCGGCATCGCCAGCGATGATTTCAATCAGAGCTCCCCCGACGTCGCCGTAGGCTCAAGGCGCCTCGCACATCGCGCATGCGCGGCCGTCGCAATTGTCGGGGAGATCGCGGAAGCAACGGTTGCAGTGCCGCTTCATCGTCTGAATGTCACGGGCGCCTTCCTGGGCGAGGGTCTCTACGCGGCTGCGGGCGTTTCCGCCGGCGCCTGGAGATCGACCGAGGTCGCGGAGAGCCCGATCGGGGATCGCACGAGCGCTATCGGTGGCGAGATCGGTGGCCGGAGATTCCATTCCCTTTCCAGTCATCTGATCGGAGAGGTCACCTGCCGAAATGTCCTCGCGAGACTGGCGTGCTGAGGCCGTGCCAGCGTGCTCGGCGATGATCTGCTTGGCCGTTGCGATGAGCACGGCTTCCTTGTCACCATTTTCCTCGCCTTCCAGGCATTCGTCAGAATCGGTCCGAAGGACCTCGACTATCTGTTTCTGGGCGGGGGCAGCAGCAGAAGCGGCGCTGCCTGGGCCAGGGCCAAGGCCTGGAATATTAAACGGGCGAGGAGTGGCGTCAACCGCTGAAATGCGAGGTTCGGGTCGGGGTGAGTCGTTGGTGCCCGCGTCCATCGGGTCACCCATGGGGATGTCTGACTGTAAGTATCCCTGGAATTTCACATCGTCCGTCACAAGGTCTCACCATAGCACGCGCAAGGTAATAAGGGCAGGGTGATTCTATGAATGTCGACCTGCGACGTCTCTGCCAAGCGCTCTGTGGCATTGTTCAACATAATCGCCCATATACTGGGAATTCAATACACTAAAACGACCTCGCCATCGCCCATGTAGCCCAGGCTCCAAATCAATGCACGGATGAAAAAGTTATGGCCGCAAAGACTGGGCAACTGTAGATCCCATGGGCTACGATGGTCGAACCTCATGTTGAAGTAGTTCATGTCAGTAATGAACCGAAATGTAATGTCGATATGGCTTCCACACGCAGAAATGTTACCCACCCACTCCACGGCAATGATCTGCTTGACTTCGCACGCCAACGCGTTCAGCAATGGTTCGGATGACCACATGCTAGCGCCATATTTCTTGGCGCTCTCGAAGAAGCTCCCCTAAGAGAGCTTCAAGTATCGCGTCAGGGGAACCGATGATCGGGGGGAGAGTCATTGTCCTCTTCTCGTCCGCTTTGTCGGCCTGATCGTGATCGTGGTCCACGTTCGCAAGGATGTCGTGAAATTCACATGTTTCCGCCGGCGCATCATCGAATGCGTCGCCGTCGGGCGCCCCGAGATGATCGCCCATGTTCCAGCAGTCGACATGGATAAGCATCACCTCGGGGAGATCGGCGCGAAGAGGAACTGCGAATCTGAATACAGACTGCTCATTCACATGATCATGATACCAGATGTTGATCCCAAAAAGGCCGTGGCCACGAAATGGGATCAGAACGGCGACGCACGGTCCGGCGTGCTCAATGTCTATGATAGGTCCACAGGTCTTGCCTTTATTCAAGATAATGGTCGTTTGCTTGGTGGCAGGATCTGGAAGAGTGACGGCTGTGCACCGAGACGTGTCAAACGGACGCCCGTGCAGGAAGTCGCCCTCCTGAATCCTGCCGCATCTGCGGGCTTGCTGTCAGCGATCTCTGGACAGGTCCGCGACAACAGCTGGAAGTATTCCCCTTTTGCAGTCCTGCGCGGTTTTCCACCGCGCAGTGCTGCTGGCTGGGGCTCTCCGCGATCTCCTGCTGCATCTGGGTCGGTGGGTTCGCATCCCGTTGGGGCGCGGGTGTCTCCGCCGGCGCCTGATTATCTGCAGGGGCAGCGGAAACGGCCAAATACGTTTCCAGACGGAAAACGTCCTGTGCGTCAGCTGCGGCATCTTCAGGAGTGGCTGCCTGCGCGGGCTGATCAACGTTGCGCGGCGTCGCAGACGACGAGCTCTTCGCAATCGGAGGAGCGACTGCAAGGGCCACGGATCCGCGGGGCTTGGGGGGCACGGCAGTCTGCGCGCGGTGTGTCCGCGGCGTCGCTATGCGTTTCGCCGCGGGCGTTACCGCCGACGCAATTTCGCAAACTTCGCACTGACTCCGTGGCTCAGGGAGTTTCTCCAGCGGAGGGCACGTCCATGATTTACTGCGCTCAGGGTAAAGGACCCCTGCGCCAACTGCGCGGATCGCAAGGCGCGGAATAATCCGAGGGGACACGATTGCGCCTTGCTCCCCAAGCCAGAACTCACAGCCAGCTGCAGTAGCGGCTTTCATATCGATGACGATGTTAACCTGCTTCTTCTTGTGGCCGAATTTGTAGCCTCGAACGTTGGTGCGTGGGTTGTGCGCATCGTTGAGCGCGAAGGATCTACGGCTGAAGAAAGCTTCCTTGCGGGCCAGACGCGCGGCGCCGCACCCTGGAACGATGCCGCAGTCAAGGATGCCAGTCCTTGCGTCGTTGGTGGTGGCGCGATGCAAGTACTTGACGCCTGTCCAAGATAAGCGCTTCCATCCCACGTCCGAAGGCTTGCCGGTCTCATGCGCGCAGCTTTGTCCACCAACTGCGCGAATGGCCAGAGCGCGTTCCCATGGGAAGGCCGACTGAAGATCGTCGAAATCAGCGCGCCGAACAAGACCTGCGAACGAGCCTCGTCGTCATCGATGTGCACTTGCATGAGGCGAAGGACAGCGATGATGTAGTAATTAGCGTCGATTTGCCGAGGCTGTCCATGCATTGGGCCTGCTGCACATGGGTGCTCACGGCCTGTTGGGTCGGCCCGCGTCCGTTCTGTTGGAAGGCCGTTTTCATCGGCCGGTCGAACGACACGGCGCGTTGTAGACAGCCCAACCTTCAGCATCGACTGACCGCGGACAGATGTTGACGCGACAGTCAAGCAACCGCTCGAAGCCATTACTTTCCTGGTTGTCGCTACGCAATATAACAGAGATCGGCTTGCTGAAATGCTTCAGCGCACCCAAGTTGCGATCTGGATATCTGAGAGAGCGTGATCCACCGCCGCTTTACTGTGGAAAATTGCCAACCTTTTCCTCCGGAACCCGGGGGTCGCCCCCCCCCCCCCCCCCCCCCGAGGGGGAGAAAATTCACCCTATTTGACTTGTGTTTTCCGTGGTTGCAAAAAGTTTTTTGGACCCAGTGAATCTACACATGCACCATCGTACGAGCTGCGGAGATATGTACGCGCACGCATGCATGCATAACCAAATATGCATATCAACATAGCGACTGGATCTCCGTAGTATTATCCACGCGCGGACAAACAAACGCAATCGCGAGTTCCCGCATCAGAAATTTGCTGGTTCTCTCGCATGCGCCAATGGCCTCAGCGACCCCTACCTGTGCAACGCAGATGATGCTCGTGGAAGCTCGTGGATTGAATACTCCCATGGACCCCATGAGCGATTCCTACCTGTGAGCGCAGAGAATGCTCGTGGATGCCCGTGGATGGAGTGTTGTCCCGTGGGCCCATGAGCGAATCCCACCTGTGCAGCGCACGAGATGCTCGTGGATGCTCCACGACGGGGCGCTTCTTCACTTGCCCATGAGCGATTCCTACTCGTGCAGCGCACAGGATGCTCGTGGATGGGTTGTTATCCCATGAGCTCACGAGCTATTCCTAGCTGTGCAACGCACAGGATAATCGCGGAGGCTCGTGGATGGGGTGCTCTGCCTTGGGCCCATGAGCGGTTCCTACCTGTGCAGCGCAGATGATGCGAGTGGATGCTGGTGGATTGGGGGCTCTCTCATGGACACATCAGCGACCCCTACCTGTGCAGCGCACGAGATGCTCGTGGATGCTCGCGGATGGGGTGCTCCTCCATTGGTCCATGGTCGACTCCCCCTTGTACAGCGCAGATGATGCTCGTGGATGCTGGCGGATGGAATGCTCTCCCATGGGCCCATAAACAAACTTTACATGTGCAGCGCACGAAATCATATTCGGTGCTCGTGGATGGGGTGATCTGCAATTCACCCACGGCCAATTCTTACCTGTGCAGCGCACGGAATCATAGTGGATGCTCGTGGATGGGGTGCTCCGCCATGGACCCACAAGTGATTCCTACATGTGCAGCGCACAGGATGCTCGTGGAGGCTCTCGGATGAAGTGCCCTCCCATAAGCCCATCAGCGATTCCCACCAGTGCAACGCAAATAATGCTCGTGGATGCCAGTAGATGGGGCGCTGCCCCATAGGCCTATGAACAAATTCCACCTGTGCAGCGCGCGAAATGCACGCGAATGCTCGTGCACGGGGTGCTTCCCCATGGGGACACGAGCGACTCCGACCTGTGAAGCGCGCAGGGTGATCGCGGATGCTCGTGGCCGGGGTGCCATCGCAAGGGCCAATGAGCGAATGATGATGATGGTGATGCTGATGCTGACGATGGTGATGGTGATGACGATAATGATGATGTGGCGGAGGGGGGAGATGGTGATGTCGTCATCCTCCCGCAATACTCATATGTCACATCGCCAACATGGTCATCACCCGTCCTCCCACGCGTCCTGCAGGCTTGATGGCGCGGGGTAGGATGAGGAGGGAGCGGTTAAGAAGCCGATGATGGTAATGGTGTTTGCGAGGCTGATGATGATGAGGGGCTGGGAAGGATGACGATGGGGAGCAGGAGGCTGCGGACGAGGAAGACGTCATCATCTTCCCTCTTCATGTTCATCGTCATCACCGTTACCCTCACACGTCATCCCCCTACCCCTCCTCCCCCTGTCCACGCTTTCTTCCACTGTCGAGCAGGCTCCCTGACGATGGGGGAGGAGGAGGGCGCGATAATGATGGTGGTGGTGATCAGAATAATGATGAAGATGATGCTGACGATGCTGCAGTTGAGGATGGTTGTGGTAATGATGGCGATGATGGTGATCATGATGATGATGCTAGTGATGCTGGCGATCATGCTGATTGGGGGTCGTGATGTTGCTGAGGAGGATGAGGATGACGAGGGCGTCATCAACATCATTATCCTCATGTTCATCCTCGTCATCATGGCCCTCACCCGTCCTCCTCTTGCCCACCATCCTCCCGCCCATTTGGCGGGCAGGCTTCATGACGTCGGGAGGAGGCGGGGGAGGGAGCGATGATGCTGCTGATGATGATGACGGCGATGATGATGACGACGATGATGGTAATGACGGTGAGGAGGATGAGGAGGATGAGGAGGCGGATGGGGGGATATGATGATGACGATGTCAGTGGCGATGATGTTGATGTACGAGATGATTACGCGGATTATGATGATGAGGTCGTCATCATCACCATCACCATCGTCATCGTTATCGTCCTCCTCACCCTCCCCATCATCATCATCGTCACCATCGGCGTCATGATCCCCACCGCCCTCGCGCTACACGATCCCATCTTCATGCTTACTCATCCTTATCCTGTGCGAACAGGCTTCATGACGAGGGGTGATGGTGATGAGGATGATGATGAGAAGGAGGAAGGAGCGATGATGATGACGATGGCGATGATGACGACGACGACAAAAGGAATCCAGTTGTATGGCCGCCACAAAAAGGAACCCCTTCGTAAGGCCACATAAGGAATCCCTTTGTAAGGCAGCAGATTTTTTTCGGGAGCCACCAGCGGAAAACCAGGAAAACAAGGAAAAACAAAAAAAACAATGAAACCACAGCGAAAAACAATGAAAAACAGAAGTTATAAGGCCGCCACAATAGGAATCCCTTTGTAAGGCAGCCACAAAAGGAATCCCTGTGTAAGGCCGCCACAAAAAGAATCCTATGGTAAAACCTCCACAAAAGGAATCCTTTTGTAAGGCCGCCACAAAAGGAACACATGTGTAAGGCCTGTCACATATAGAATCCCTTTGTAAGGCCGCCACAACGGGAATACTTTTGTAAAGCCGCCACAATAGAAATCCTTTTTGTAAGGCCGCCACAAAAGGAGTCCCCTTGTAAGGCCGCCACAAAAGGAATCCCTTTGTAAGGCCGCCACAAAAGGAATCCCTTTGTAAGGCCGCCACAAAAGAAATCCTTGTGTAAGATTGCTACAAAAGGAATATTTTTGTAAGGCGGCCACAAAAGGAATTCCTTTGTAGGGCCGCCACACAAGGAATCCCTTTGTAAGGCCGCCGCAAAGGGAATCCCTTTGTAAGGCCGCCACAAAAGGAATACATTTGTAATGCCGCCCCCAACACAAAAACACATTTGTAAGGCAGCCACAAAAGGAATCCCTGTGTAAGGCCGATAATCCTTTTTCGGGAACCACCAGCGGAAAATCAGGAAAACAAATAAAAAACAAGGAAAACAAAGAAAACACAACGAAAAACAATGAAAAACACAAAAAGACTGTGTTTTCATATGTTTTCGTTGATTTTCATTGTTTTTTTGCTGTGTTTTCATGAGTTTTCTGTGGATTTCATTGTTTTGGGCTGTGTTTTCGCAGTTTTTGTATGTTTTTCCTGGTTTTTCGCTGTGTTTTCATTGTTTTCATTGTTTTTCCTTGTTTTCCTGGATTTCCGCTGGTGGCTTCTGAAAAAAAATAGCGGCCTTACAAAGGCATTCTTTTTGTGGCGGCCTTACAAAAGGATTCCTGTTGTGGCGGCTTTACAAATCGATTCCCTTTGCGGCGGCGTTACAAAAGGATTCCTTCTGTGGCGGCCTTACAAAAAGAATTCTTTTTGTGGCGGCCTTACAAAGGGATTCCTTTTGTTGCGGCTTTACAAAAGGATTCCTTTTGTGGCGGCCTTACGAAGGGATTCCTTTTGCGGCGGCTTCACACAAGGATTCCCTTTGTGGCGGCCTTATAAAGGAATTCCTTTTGTGGCGGTCTTACAAAGGGATTCGTATTGTGGCGGCCTTACAAAAGAATTCCTTTTGTGGCAGCCTTACAAAGGGATTCCTTTTGCGGCGGCTTCACACAAGGATTCCCTTTGTGGCGGCCTTATAAAGGAATTCCTTTTGTGGCGGTCTTACAAAGGGATTCGTATTGTGGCGGCCTTACAAAAGAATTCCTTTTGTGGCAGCCTTACAAAGGGATTCCTTTTGTGGCGGCCTTAATTCTCTGTTTTTCCTTGTTTTTCATTGTGTTTTCCTTGTTTTCTTGTTTTTCCTTGTTTTCCTGGTTGTCCGATGGTGGCTCCTGAAAAAAAATTAACGGCCTTACAAAAGGATTCTTTTGTGGCGGCCTTACAGAAGGATTCCTTTTGTAGCGGTTTTACAAAGGGATTCCTTTTGTGGCGGCCTTACAAAGGGATTCCTTTTGTGGCGGCGTTACAAGAGAACACAACAAGAAACAAACTCGTTGGAGAGAGAGAGAGAGAGAGAGAAAGAGAGAGAGAAACGGAAACAGAGAAAGAGACGCAGAGGGAAATTATATACATAACGCGTGTGTAATATCCGCAAGAAACACGTAACAAATTCAAATAGGGTGAATTTTCTCCCTTTCCCCCCCCCCCCCTCCGAAAATCCCCCCCCCCTGCTGGAACCCCTCCCACTCCCCCCCCCCCCCCTTCCCCCGGCAAAACCCCCCCTCCCCTAACCCCTCCCCCCCCCCTCCCCCTCGAAAACCGGGGGGGGGTCACTACCGGTTCGTCCGGATCGGAAAACCGGGGGGGGTCACTACCGGTTCCCCCCCCCCCTTACCCTTCGGATCCGGAAAACCGGAGGGGGTCACTACCGGTTCGAACCCCCCCCCCCTACTAAGCGCACCTTTGCGACGCCTGCGGCGGCAGCGGGGAGCCCCGCGTGGACCCGTCCCGATACGGCGCTCCGGGTAAGGGGTAGGGCTTAGGGTCACGGTTAAGGGTTTGAGCAGGGTTAGGGGTTAGGGTTAGGTTTTAGGGTTAGGGTCAGGTGTTCCCAGCACCACTGTCCTCACCACCAGTCCCCGCTGGTTCCACCACCGCCCCTACTGTCCCCACCAGTGCCCCCACCACTGTCGCACTGTCCCCGCTGTCCCCAGAACTGTTCCCACCACGGTTCCACTCTCCCCACTGTCTCCACGGCCCCAACCACTGCCCGACTATCCCCACTGTCCCCACTGTCCCACTGACTCCTCCGCTGTCCCACTGAGCTGTCCCACTGTTCCCACCACTGTCCCCACTGTCCCCACCACTGTCCCCACTGTACCTTGTCCCATTGTCCCACCGCCGTCCTCGCCACCGCCTTCACCACTGTCCCCACCACCATTGTACCCTCCACTGTCCCACTGTTTCCACCTCATTCCCATTGTCCCCACACCACTGTCCCCACCACCACCGTCACCACCACTGTCCACTGCCCCCCCCTGTTCCCGCCATTGTCCCCACCACTGTCCCCGCCACTACCGTCCCCACCACTGTCCCACTGTCCCACTGCCCCCACCACTGTCCCGCTATCCCCTCACCACTGTCCCCGCCAACACCGCCCCCACCACTGTCCGCGCCCCCGCTCGGTTTTCGAGGGGGGGGGGGGGGGTTCGAACCGGCAATGACCCCCCCCCGGTTTTCGAGAAGGGGGGGGGGGGGTTCGAACCGGTACCCCCCCCCTTTTCATGATGAGCTGGGGGGGGGGGGGTTCGAACCGGTAGTGACCCCCCCCGGTTTTCCGGAGGGGGGGGGGTTCGAACCGGTAGTGACCCCCCCCGGTTCTCCGCCAGCAGCGGTAGAACATGCTCTTTCGGATATCTCGAACCCATGATAAGGTCTGATCCCAACTGTTAGTTTGCACGCTGCACAGTGTGACCCATTCGTACTCAGGCAAACATCCACTGTTGTGCAAGCCGGGTGCATGTGCGATGACGTAATCGTCGTATTGCAAGCTCTCGTTGCACTGCGCATCAGTCAGGCACACGGAATATCGGCCAATGCCCCCGCAATGGAGGAGGTACCCAAGGGAACGAGTTCTCAGACTTCTCGCGAATGCAGCATTCCCTGGGGGCGCAGCAAGTGCCGTACTTGCCCAGGGTATCCTTGCCAGACTCGCAGTGGGATCGGTTGCAACATTCGCGCCCTGCCATCACTGTGAGTTGAGAGGATACTGCAGAGGCCACAGAGGGTGGAGCATCTGCAAATGTTTCCACCAGCGCAGTGACGTCCACTGCTGGCGCAGAGGGCGGACGCGGCGGAAGCGCGGGCGGCTCCCTGGGCGTAGCCGGCAGAAGCGGCGGAGGTGGCTGTGGTGGCAGAGGTGGCCTTGACTTGGACGCGGTGCTAAGGGCGGTGGCATTCTCAGGTGGAGGGTGCCTTGGCGGAGGCGGTGGCTCCAGCAGGGACAACGATGGGTTCCGACTCCCCGCGTCAGGGGGTGGGGATGGCGGGTGTTCCTCGTTTGCCTCAGCCTGCTCACGAAACCGCGATATCAGTCGATGTAATCGGCGTTGCAAGTACGGGCTACGTTGAAGTAGCTGGTTTCTGCACTCGGCCGCGCGGGAGCCTGCGGTTGTTCTTTATCGATAAACTGTCGTAGGACAAGCCGCGTGGCGGCGTGGCGCATCTGCAAGAACTTCGACGCGGTCGTCTTCAGATAGGCACGTTCCAGCGATCCCCACGAACCCCACACCATAGGGCAGTCGTTAATGAGGCAGTTGAAGCTCTCAAAGATTTTGGTGTAGGAATAGAAATGCCTCCGTTCCGAGGCCACGGAGACTGCTTCCCAATCCCTGCCGTCGGCAGATGGTACCGCCTGGGTGTGCACAGGAGTAGTTGCCTCTGGCGTCGGCGTTCCGGGCCTCTCACAAGGTATCGATGGGGCCCGGGCCCAAGGGGCGGGAGCATCAGAAGGCATACTTGGTGCGGGTGTCACAACCTTCGGTGGGGTGGGGGTGGCGTTAGTCGCGGTAGATATGGACTTAAAGGTCTGATTCATCCACATAGCCAATCCATGATCACCGAGTGCCATGAGCTGAAGTCCCTCAACGTTATGGCGACGTTAGCGTTGCGTGGATTGCTCCAGGCGCATACGAAGAGCAACGCGCAATTCGAGGGCCTGCGTCTGTCCCTGAAAGTCCGTGATAGGTCTGATCAGGGGGTGGCGACATGGAAATGGCTGAGTTGCCAAGGGCATGGGGACTGCGCTCAAATTGAGCACCGTGGCCCCATACATCAACTGCTGTCAACTGCACAAAATTATGCTCGTTCTTGATGGCGTGCCAAGCGTTGTCGCATGGGCGATCCCGCGTCGCAATCCATTGTTCCACTGGGAGGACTGCAGAATGCCTCTGCCAGTCAACATGGGCATGATGTCATTGATGAGGTCATTGAACGTATCCGCAAAGCCCCACTGTGCCGCCTTGCCAGGGCCCATCACGGCGGGGCAGCGGACATAGTTCATCACGTCGATGCAACGCGACATGTCGACCTTGACATATTGAGGCAGGGCTGAAACCACGCCGTTCTTTGCAGGCATCCATTGCTCATGCCTGTTGGGAGACAGGGCGGCGCAAACGCGATGTGGGCGCAAGTCCATTTGCAGCCCGATGCAATGTCATTGGCGCTCCACCACAGGAAGGCACTGAGGCCACGTTGGTTGTGCTTTTGTTTGACATATGCCGGGGAACTGTCCACCCAATAATTTCGTATGATCTCGTTGATGCCGCGGTATCCGTCATAGTTCTGGGCCATGTAATGAGCTCTGGCCTGACGTATCAAGGCGACGATGTTACGTTGCTGCTTGTTACGCGGCTCCAGGGAGGCCAGGATGGAGTCAAGGTTGCAGCGCAGCTCTTCGTGATGCTTCTGTCATGCAGCAGCTGCGTCATCAGCGCGGATGCCCCCGCTGGCTTCAAGCAACAAAAGTAGGTTGCAACCGACGGGAGCACCATGTGTGAGCCAGTATGACTTGTAGTCGGACTTCTGCATGGCCCAGAGGAGGATGTCATCGAGCATCCAGATGCTGAAGTCCTCCAAAGTCACACCTTGGCATTGAAAATCGCGAGTCCGAAATCTTCTTGCAGAAGAGGGGCACAAGCGTTACGCGAAACCCGACCAACGTGGAGGAGGGGCATTCGGGTCGGTAAAAAGACCCTCACAATGACAACCACCTGCGTTTTTGTCCGCAGGGACGTCGCTTGGGCGAGGCCTGTTGAGCCCCCGCGGCTTCCAGCTGGGGTCAAACGGATTCAACGCGCCCGCGTCCTCGAGCGCACCATCGCCTGCAGGCGTTGCCACCGGCGCTGGCGCGGAAGCCTTTCCACCGAAACCTCCACGTGCAGTCGCCCTAGATGATGTCTGCATCTCGCACCCTTGGGCGCCTGTCAAGATGTTGAGGACGCGGCGGCGGGTTTTCTGCAGCGCCTCCGCGATCTTGCCGACGCGGCCCGCCATGTCCGACGCGCGCGAGGCCATCGGCGGCCTCGCAGGCAGCTCGACACTCTCTCGAGGGACATCGGAGAAGTTGGCCGATGTAAATCCATGCGCCGGGACATGCGGGGGCACAGGGTTGTCGGCGCACTTGTTCACGTCGCGAGCGATTGTCAGCCCAGCTGCATGACCAATGAGGACGTTGCCAATCTTATCCCATGGCATCCGCACTATCTCCCACGCGCTGCTGGCCAAGCTGTTGCACATATCTCTCGGCGGACACTGCGGCCCCCCATCGCCGGCCGCAGGCAAGTTGTGGGGCGAGAAGTCGGGGCGCTGCCGAGGGGCATTGTCGATAGCCAAAACCATCAGATAAAATCCTGTGAAGGATGGCCAAACGAACGTGAAGGCAAGCCACGGCGCCACCATGGAAGGCGACGGGGTCGAGGCACGACTGCCGCGCAGCAGTTCAGTGGCCTCATGCACCGCATGTCCGCTTCCACCTGGGCGCTTCTCGAGGCGCAGGAGGAATTCATCGGGGCATCCTCCTGAGTGCGGCGGCGGGCAACCTGCGGCTGAAACGCGGGGCCTACGCGGATGTTTCCATCGGCGCCGGCGCGGGACATGCCTCTGGCCTGCGCCCCCTGCAACTCAGTCGGGCGGTTCGCCGTGCTGGACCGAACTGGGGCGGCGCTGCCTCTGTCGCCAGGAGACGGGTCGAGGGGCGCGCGAGCTTGCCTTTCATCGCTGCAACGGCCGCAGTAAGGCGCGCATTTGGCAACGCGTGCGCGCGCAAACGGGGGGCGCAAAAGAGACGACACCTGGGTCAAGAGAGACAAGACTGGCTTTCTTGGCGGTCTCCGGCTCCTCCACGGCCTTCGCTTTGAAAGCGCGAAATGTGAGCGGAAACTCCAACGTATCTTTCCAAGTGCGGGCCGTCTTAGGCTCAGAATGTTTAGTCATCATGTCTGCAAGCTGTTCCTTAGTACCTGCATATTTGAGCTGCATATGTTCCTGCTGATATGTTTATGTGATCCAATCCAAATTAATGCGATGAGTACGATGCAGATGACGACGCGCTGGTGCTCGTCCGTTTTGGACTATGATAATAACTGCCTCGTCATCCTCAGCGCCGCAGTTTCCCGTAAGGAAAATAGAAGTAGACCTTCCGTGCGCAAGGCCGTGTCCAGAGCCACGATCCCAGACTCCGTGGATGAGCGCGACACCACGGTTTGTTTCTTGCATGCGGAGTTGCACGAGAAGAATGCGTTAGGACCCACAAGCGCGACGAACGCGCCTGCGGTCGACTTCGAGCTGTTGACGCAATTTGCAAAGGAGGTGTCGGTGAAGAGCATGATTGATATTTGGTCTGATATGTAGCCAAACCATACGTGGAGACAGTGTGTGCGCGTAGATTTCAGGTAACAGACCAATCGATGTAGACGCTTGTCACAAGCCTATTTCCACTGGATGATCTCCCGAGCGAGCATGCAAACTGGGTGCGCGAAGTCAAACCTGCAGCACCTCGCCAGGTATAAGATCTCTAGCAGAACGCTGGCGGCGTCAGGATCGAGGACGCCTTCGTCATTGTAATCCCGTTCCGAAAAAAGAACGTATCCTCGATGCCAGGGGCGTCCGCATGGTGGAGAGCGTCGTAGGTAATGCGTGCGGCGTCGTTTTTGTTTTTTTGTTTCAGCCGGCGCGCAAAATCTAGATGCGGGTTTGTCAACCAGCGCACAAGATCGAGACTGGGCTGATCGGTGCTTAGGCGATGATGATCTCTTTCTCCGTGCACCAGGCATTCCAGGTAGCTTGGAGACGCGTTCCAAGTATCGAGTAACGCACTGATCGGTAAAGCCAAGCATGTCGTGACGAATCCCACGAACATTTGATGCCGATGCGTGCTGTTTACTGCCATGCTCTGGGGGCATGGGTCGGGTCGTAGCCATGCGTTTGGCGAAAACGCTTTGTGGCATTTGCCGGGCATCCTGACCGCGTCCCAAGTAGCGGTCGCATGGTACAGGTGGGTCTATCTCGACTCCACTGCGTCGCATCAGATCCCGTCCTACTTTGATGTTGGCTTTGGGGCCCGCCATTTTGAAGTCGTCCACGTACACGGACAGTATTAGGTTGAGCTTGTCATGCTTCCAGACGCCCATCCGGGGATAGGGCGGCGCCCCGCGGACCCTAAGCAAGCGCGACAGTGACGCTCCCGAAAGACACCTGTCAGCGGGTGCCCGGAGAGAGCGAGGCGCAGTCGACAGACAAGATTCTGATACTTAGCCCAAAATGTAGGCAGCCGACACTTGGGCAAAGTAATCCGCGCATCCGCGGGGTCGATCCGACCGTCGCCATAGAGTAGGGCCTGAGTATAGGCACCGGGGGCATCACTTTGCTCGCCGCCAATGCCAGGCAATAACGCAGTGGCGTCGCATAGCTTGGAGGCCTCGACGCGCGAGGCGCTGGGCGCGGCGTCGGCGCAGACGGCGGCCAGGCCGCTCTCGTCTATCATGTTGTCGCCCCGAAACAACGCGCCCCTTTTTGTACTTCTGGAGTTCCGGTGGTAACTCTGCCCGTTTAACAAGAGATAGTTCCAGGATGTAGGCGACTTGAACCATTTTGGATTCCTTCTGCGCGTCGCGGACAACATCGCCGCGTTCCATGGCCGCGTGCCGCATCGAGCATCCATGTCGTCGTCTTTTCCAACCGTTCGTGCTCTTTACGAAGTGCGTCTTGTGCTCGTGGTTCAGCCACAACTTCCTTCTTGGTGAGATTGCGCGCGATGAGGTTGCGGTTGACGATACGGGGCCGTCCCCAGTGAGTCGAGTCGAGTTTGCTTCTATGTTCCTAATGGTGGTCAGATGTACGCGGCATCAAAAGTACTGAACCGAACTTGTCCATCAGCGCATGCGAGCGTGCACCGCTTGCGGGACTCGCATCCGGCTGTGGACGGTAGTATCAAACGGTGATGATGTCGCGTGGTCCGCCAGGAAGAACAGCATGAAGTATGCTGTTGTCGGTGACGCCAGGTGGCGCCCATCACGCTCTCGTCTCGGATGACGACATTGCTGCGCAGGTCGCTGCGTCGCTCGACGGTGGTCCACGGGGGGCCGTCACCACTGCTGATTAGGAAGTGGTGAGCATGCTTGTCAGTTCGAGTCCATGCACGAAGGGCGGAGTTATGGCGAATCTCTCGCGCCGCGGAGCGCGCCCCTGGCGAACTCTTTCTCGGCCAGCCGCTCTTTCTCGGAGATGGTGCTCCAGAACTCAAGTAAGACATGATATGGTCGGGATGTGGCCTGGACACGGGTCTTGCGACCACGGATGTCGATATTGCCGTCTGCGGTGATCCAGGGCCGCTTGTACAGGCGGACTATTCCGGTCCGGGGCTCACTAGGGCGGCGGTGGTCATTGTCACTGCCGCCCCGCGCGTCGCGGAGACATTTCTCACCCTCGAAAGTGGGCGCGGCTTCGAAGTTGCAGATAACATCGAGCTTGTCCACTGGGACAGGGATCCCGATCGCGTCGTCAGTAGGGCGAGAAACCCGTGTGCGAGGTGTTCGAATGTGACGTAATATAGCCTCGCCGCGTCGTTCCCAGTAATCGGGCTCAGGAGCTGGGGCCGCGGGCCCAGGTGCCTCGGGAAGGACTGGTTCGGGAGGCCGTGCTCCAGAGCCAGAAGCTCAGGGGGTCTGGTTCGGGAAGCCTCGAAGTACTGGGGTCATTGTTGGCAGGTGCTCCCAGTGGTCGGGTTGTTTGGAACGATATCAACTCGCGTGTTTCTGGGTTGCGGTGTCGATTTGACCGGGAAAACGCATATTCCCTGTGGGATCATGGCGTTCCTGACACGATGTACACGGCAATGTTCTGCGTCGGGATGCTTGGCGCATGTGGCCGCGTCGATAGCGAAGTAGTCATCAGACCGACGCCCGCCAAAGTGAAGGTGGCATCCCATGAACAATCCCTCTCGCGTGGTCCAATCGAACTTCGCCGCGGACTTGCTGGTGTCCGGATTCAAGCATTTCCAGAAGATTCGAATACCAAAAGGAACAAGGTGCCCTTTGAAGGGTTCTCCGAAGTGGATTTCATGTGATGTGTAGTCCGCGCATGCTTCGTGTGAGGCAGCAACGCCATGACATGGTCGAGTAGTAAAGTTGCGGCCGCGGCGCCATGCCTGCACGGCTTCTTTCCACCATTCGTGACCCAAGCCAGATTCTCGGGGTTTTTTCGGGTGTCTTGGGATTCTTTGTGGGGGTCTGGGAGCCTCTTGGGGCCGTCGGGGCTCCCATTTGTTCCAACAGAGGGGTGTCCCCAATGCAGGTCCTCTCCCTCGTAGGCCTAAAAAGAGGCGTCTTGGGACCCTCTTTGGCCGCCCTTGGAGGAGGAGGAGGAGGAGGAGGAGGAGGAGGAGGAGGAGGAGGAGGAGGAGGAGGAGGAGGAGGGAGTTGTGGAGCACCGCGCGGGTGCCCTGTATAACTGACTCAACTGCACGCTCGGCCGCTCCCAGTTTTGTGGCCGACGTGGCGCGCCGGCAGCGCGCCGCCAACCCAGAAGCAAGGGCTCCCAACTTCGCGCTTCGCGCTGCGCGAAGTGCGAAGTGCGAATAACTTCGCGCTCTCGCGCCGCCTCCCAGGAGAAGAGAGGAGGATGAGGGGGAATCGGAGCCGAACCGCGAAGCGCGAAGCGCGAATAACTTCGCGCCCTCGAGGGCGCCCTTGCAGAAGGCGGCATGCTTTCTGTAGCTCGCCCGAATTGCCAGTGCAAATGCGTTTCGCTTCGTCGCTCGTGGCAAGAAACTCGAGAAAGGATACCTCGGTAGTTAGTTTCGGCGTCCTTAAGCAGGGAGTGCCACGATGGCGCCCGCAAACGTATCCAGCACCACCAAGGCACACTTGTCGCCATATTTGTCGGCGGCGTCGCCTGCTGCAGAGACGATGTGGTCGGCGGTCAGTGCCTCGCCGAATCGCTTGGGTACTAACTTTTCATGCTGAATGTCATCCGTGGTGGGATTATGCAGTGGGTTGGGTCGGTGCTGGCGTCGGCATGGCGTGTTGTGTACAAGGATGCGTGCACCAATATCACAGTCGGGGTGCTTGCGACTGTGGGTGATGTAATGTGATGGGTCGAGGGGTGGACGTGGTCTGCCAGGTTGCGTACTGTCACGAGTCGGCGGCAACGCGGATGCGGGTGTGCCCACCAGCGCAAATGCGCCAGACGTCGCATCGATCGGATGCGGCGCAGACGCAGGCGCGTCCACCGGCGCCGAAGCACAATGCGCGGACGCAGGTGTGCACGCGGGCGCAATGGCATCATCCACGCAACACTTACACGTGAAGGGAGACGAAACGTTAATGTCATTCTGTCGTGCATCTCGCGAACGTCGTGATATAGGTACTGTGGCACACAAGTGAGGCGGCGAAAACCGTTGAAGATAGCGAAAAAAAAAACATCCCGGCAAAGCAACCTAACAGCGATGTGTATAAGCATATCTGGAAGCACTCCCCTTAAGATTCAGGTGAGAATCCAGTTGTAGAATTCTGCTGTTCTCGCAGTCGCAGTCGCATTCGCAATGACAGTCGCAGTGGCAACGGCCTTAGGATCCAATGGAATCCTAAGGATTCCTAGGGATTCCTAAGGCATCCTTAGGCATCCTTAGGAATCCATAGGAATCTTTAGGAGACC